GAGAGACACTGCCACTCCTCCCAGGCATCTGATGTTAATGGCATGAATGGAAAACCAAAGGGAAGGACAAGCCAGGAAAACCCAACTCGCTGTTGTCATTTCCTGTTTGGGCAGTGCTCAACACATGTTGCTGAGAAGCTACTACACTGTCCTTTCCCTAAAACTGGGTTCTGGCTGTGGGGAGCGGAACGGCTTTCCAGACCATGTTAAACTTAAAAACCTGGCTTTCAACTAGAGGATTCTCACTCTTCCATATGGTGACCCTCACATGCAGTCATTCATCACCATTCCTATTCAGATGCATCCTTAATCCTTTGTAAAAAACAGTGCAAGGCTTTATGGGCCTCCCTCGCATGGCAAGACCAGTTGCAACAGCCCAGAGGCAAGGAATAAGGGAGATGGCTCAGGGTGCTACCCCCTCTACCTGCAAAAAAGACAATTGCAGGGAACCTCACGGGGAATGGGATCAATACGTGCAGGTTGAGAACTTTTGTTCTGGAGCAAACCTCTGCTCCCAACATGGGATGATGGTGAAACCACTCTGGCAGGAATCCTGAGGGTGGCGCCAGCCACCCAATGGGGGTTTTACTTAAAAGATAGATCGTTAAGGGGTGACTCCCATGTGACTGTCAGAAGCAACAGAGATGCCTCACAGTCACTGCACTACAGGTGGCTCGCAACAGCATTAGCTTCAGCAGCACTTTGGACAGAGTCCCCTGCACAGGCACAAGAAAAGAGACAGTGTCTGGGGCTGAGACAATGCAGTGCAAAGAAGCCAGGCAGGCTAAAGCAGCTAATTTTTGAGAGAAGTAGCCACTTAATTAGGCATATACTCTAGGCTCCCTCATTTATTTCCCAACCCCCAACAATGGCAACTTTGGGCTAAATGACCCTTCTGGTTGAGAAGAGCTAGTTGTAATTGCAAGCAGTGCCCATCAACTCTGCTTCTAGCCCAGGCTGGGTGGGGGAGATACTTGACAATGCTACAAGACATGCCTGCCCTTTTAACAAGGGCTAACAATAATACCTAGTCCTTGCATAATGGTGGTTGTTTTCAAAGTGCTTTACAAGCATCCAGTTATCTCCATGTCACCCTGTGAGGAAGGAAAAATGAGTAGCAGCACCAGTTAACAGATGGGAAAACTCAGGCAGACAGAGAAGTTAAGTGAATCACTCATCCTAGGGAGGAGTCAGTGACGGGGCCATGATCAGATGTTCCTGGCTCCAAGTCCTGTGCTCACTCCTCAAGCTGTCTCTGATGGACAAGCATCATCCCACCAGGACACCGTTCCCAGCACAGGTAGCGAGGGGCTAAGTATCATTAATACCTTTTCTGCACAATTAGGATTTTTTTCACCACACGATGCCCATGGCCAGTTCTTGGCATGAGGGTCCTGGCATCTGCAACAAGTGGAGATGTACTGAATACAGTCTTACTCTCATTCAGTCTTAGCTGGAAGATGGCATGGAGCAACAAATTAAATATCACCCCTAGTCCAACTGCTACGCCTTGGTTAGCAATGTCATTTACCAAGGATGTGTGTCTTGCAAAAGGATACACCATGTCCTGTGGGCTTAGATGGGTCCGGATCCGGGTCCTGGCTTGGAGGCTCTCCAGCAAGGTCTGAATGGTCCCTTCCTGGGCTGGCTCCCTCTCACAACTCCCATTCTGAAGCTGAATACCAAAGGAAAGGGATGATTTCCAGACCAAAGGGCAACTAACTTGTTTGTTCCTTCACATCTCCATCCCTTACTTCCCCCACTCTCCCATCCATGGCAATGAACCCCACGCTCTTCTTATTACAAAGCTTGAGATTCAATAGGCAGAGGGGCTCATAGGAACATAAACGAAACAATCTGGGCACTGCTCGAAACGTTTTGCTTTCGTGTTCCACAGTACCTCCCTGACTGCACCAGACACAAACAGCCAAGCTGATCATCTGCAGGATCCTCCCCACCCCATTATCTTCTACCTCACAGAACCCGAAGCGTTTCCCAAGTCTCATAGCAAAAACAGAAGAGATTGTTTGCAGGATCCCCTTCTTATAACCTCTTCCCACATGCCCCCATTTCCCTTTTCCTCCTGGGCCTTGCCAGCACTCTTACCTGAAGTAGAAAGAGGCGTAGAGCGTGGGATGTGGCACCAGGAAGCTCTGCTAACTTGGCTTTTGCTGCTTCTTGGAGTATCTGGCTAATTTCACTTTGAGAAATAATATTGCTGCTCCGGTATCTCACAAACTTGACCAACAGGAAAAAGGGGCATTTAATAACAGAAGTCACACTGATTCCAGCGGTGACTCATCTACAGCTACACAAGGAAGCTGCACTTAACCAAAGGTGAGATTTTAAACCAATTTAGTCAAATTGGTGGGATAGCTCAGTGGTTTGAGCATTGGCCTGCTAAACCCAGGGTTGTGAGTTCAATCCTTGAGGGGGCCATTTAGGGAACTGGGGTAAAAATCTGTCTGGGGATTGGTCCTGCTTTGAGCAGGGGGTTGGACTAGATGACCTTCTGAGGTCCCTTCCAACCCTGATATTCTATGATTCTATGAAACCGATGCAAAAAGCTGTGCAAACACTCTACTTATGATTTAAATCAGGCTTAATTCAGTTTAGCTTTAGTCATTAAGAATCAGTTGAAGCCTAACCAAAATAAGCCATCCTTAAATTGAAATAAGAGTATCCACACAGGGGTTTGCACCGGTTTAACTAAATCAGTTGAAACTGAAGTTAAACCAATGCAACTTTCTTGTGCAGGCAAGACCTCAGGTAGGGAAGGGCAGAGTCTTAGATCAGCTGCCATCATCTTTCGTTCAACAATATCTTCACACATATTTGACATGTGAGACCAGTGCTTCAACAATGCAGCAAAGTAAAGAAAACCACATATTCTCTTTTCTCTCCCCGTCCCCACGTATCATGGGAATGTTACACAGAGGAAGAACAGGGTGTATCCACCTAAAGGTCAAAATGTATAGGGGACTTCCCTTCTGCACTTCAAGATTATTAGTTTGTTGTCCAATTATGGGTCAAGAATACAGTTACAGAGTGAAAGCAATGGAAGTGTGCATGTTGGGAGGTAAACTTATGATGTACCATCCAATAACGTACACACCTGCATTGTACTAATACACAATCGATTCGCAGAACTGTCTATTCCTCCCCTGCTCACCAAAGTCATCAGCCTGAGAATTTCTGGACGAAGGAAGGAGTTCTCGCCGCCATCCAGTAGTGTGAAAAGCAGGAGTCGATTCCAGGGCTGTGAGACGACATGGAGTGCTGGAGGGGCAAGAAGAGAAATCCATCACAGGTGGTTTTAAAAACCGCAGTGGCAGGGTGCTCTTAGGTAAGAGGAGTCCTTCATGCCAAATCCTTCTGTTCTTCCTGCGAGACACCAAGCCACAGGAGACAAAAGTGGTATTTGTTTTATATCCCTTCATCAGGGGAGGGTTTATCAGCTAGGAGGCCAAAGGTGTAGCCTCTTCTTCAACCACTGCTTTCTGGTTTGGGGCCTCACACCAGGACTTGAGCTCATATCTAATTCAAACACTGAAGTACTGGGAGTGGGGGCTGCAGTATCAGATGAGCCAATCGTCTTGAGATAGTAAACCCAGTTGCCTTCTCCCCATCTCTGGCATTTGTACAAGCAATGGTTAAACAGATCTCCAGGGGCACTTTTCAGAAAGAGGAGGGGGCTATCCCTAGCCCGGAACTACAAGGGAAATCTAGGTTCTGCTCTCACTGTGAGAGATATTATCATCACCTATATATGGCCGTGTGTTAATATTGTACACCTATAAATAATTACACCCCATTATATTATCATGGAGAAATCCTCTTACCCCTTCCCCTCTGCTCTGCAACTTATACTAGCCTTGTCTGCCCACTTCACCCACAGCCATCTTCATGCCTTCTTCCACACTGCCTCTACCTCTGGAAGTCTCTCCCCAGCCTCATCCAAAGGGCCACTATCTTCTCCTCTTTCAAATTCTTCTGCAAGGCCCATTTCTTTTGTGATGCCCACAGTGATTAGGCCAACTAATTAAGGATAGGATATGGGGCAGTCAGCTAGATTTGAAGGGCATTTAGTAATGAAAACAAGAGCTCAGTATGTACATTTAGGCCTTTACTCCTGGGGGAATTCTGCGCATGTGTGGATGCACAGAATTCATCTGTCTTGCATAATTTTGTATTTTCCCGCATAAAAATCATTTTGCCTAAGTGCTACAGTTCCACCTTTTGCTCATCAGAGGTCGCTGTGGTACCAGAACAGCCAGCTGCGTTCATGCCAGCTGTACTAGCGCCACAGCGGCCTCTGGTGGGCAAAAGGCGGAACTGCAGCACTTCTTAGGCAAAATATATTTTATGTGGGAAAATACAAAATTCTATGCCCATTTCTGCATAATTCTCCCAGGAGTAGAAGTTCATCACAGCACCCAGCCTGCAGAGCCAGGTTAGGACAGAGTGGGGCACACAGGGCTGCTGGGGGGTCACAGACGGGTTCAGAATGGCTGGGGGGGGGGCAGACTGGAGCATGGGTTCAGGAGCTAGTGGGGTGACAGCGTTGAGCCTGGGGACGGGGTGGGGGGCTGCAGAGACCCATGGGGATGTGGGATGCGGGGACAGGAGCAGAAGTGCCTGATTGAATAGGAGAGGTTTAGGGTCAGCCAGGGTCTGCATGGGGGAGGCTTCCCAACACCATAACAATCCCCACCCCCAAAGAAAAACCTCCCACCCACACCCAACACCCTCGTGGTTCACTCCTAGGCTCCTTCTCTCTCCCTCAGCTCCTCCATTACCCCAAATCCCCCAAGCCTTTGCACTGCTTCTGACAAATGCAAGAAATACAGTTCTGTATTGTAATTTAAATAAATAACACAAAGTTCTGTCTTAATATGCCTCGTAAGGAATCTGTCAAAAAAAAATTACCAGAATCTTTTTTTTTTTTGGTCTGTATTGTTACAGACATACTTGCTGACAGATATTTTGAAATAAATTACCAAAATAATTGTAACTGGCATGATTATATTGTGTTATTTTGACAAACAAAATATACAAATTTTTGCAGAATTTTCAAATATTGTGTGCAGAATTTTTATTTTTTTGGTGCAGAATTCCCAAAGGAGTAGACCTTGTCTACACAAAAGTTTGTAAGGGTTTAATAAAACTAGTTTAGCTAAATTGACTAAAACCCTTGTGGACACTCCCATTTCAGTTTGAGTGGCTTATTTCAGTTTTGCTTAAGCACCTTCCTAATCTGCCTTTAAGCTAAATAAGCCTGGTTCAGACCAAAAGGAGCATCCACATAGCCTTCTGTACCAGTTTTAGCTAAATCGGTTTAAAATCATACCTTAAATCAAACCGGTGCAACTGGGTGTGTAAACAAGCTGAGAGTGTATAGAAAAACGGTACCCATTTGGTTGTCTCCCCACCTTTTGTAGGTCATTCACCTTCTTACGTTGTAAGCTCTTACCTGGGTAGAGAGCATATCTTCCTGTGTATTTCTATAGCACCCAGCACAATGGGACCCCAATCCTGACCTAGGGTTCTGGGCACTACGGCCATAAAAACAGATCCATACTGTTTCCCCTTTTCTTAGGATTCCAAACTAGGATACTCCAAACTCCACAGTTTGTGATATATTATACTGCTGCTGAAATGCTGAAACAGCATGTGATCTGTTTAATATTGAATCAGCGGAACCTCCTACTAATCTGCTCTCTCTTTTGTTCTATGGGGACTTTATCAGAGACAAACTTGGGCTATCGAGTGGCATTCATCTGTAACATCACATTTTCATTTACTAGTTTCCTCCCTGCCAACAATTACCCTTTTGTTTGATGTTCATTCATTCTTTGGTGTTCTCTCTCTAGGTATGTTTACACAGCCCACAGAAGCAGAACTAAATCACAGAACTAAAAATTAATGGTAGCTTAGGTACAAGTGACCATGAATTAATCGCATTTATAATGGGAAAGCAGCATTAAGTCCAGACCAGTAATATATATACTTGGTGCTTTATTAGGGCCAATTTCACAAAGCACTTACGAGCCAAACCAGCTGGAAGGAAGAATTTAATAAGAAAAATTTGAATGATAATTGGGAATCATTTAAGAACACCTTACTATAGATGCCTAAAAAGCCACAATTGAGGAAGAAGCCAGTGCTGGTTAAAAATGAACCTGGTTTAGAGGGGAAGTGAAAGCAGCTATAAGGGGAACTTGATAGCTTGATAGCAATGAATATAAGTCAGAAGTTAGGAACTGTAGAAAACTGATAAGGGAAACAAAGGGACACAAGGAGAAATCTGTAGCCACCAGAGAGAAGGTCAATAAGAAGGAGTTTTTTTAACTATATTTTTCAAAAGCGGCATCTTAGGGGTTACCTTATATAGTGCCAGCGGGCGGAGCCTGCTCCTCTCTGAAGGGCAGCATGGCCGGAGGAGCCATGGAAGGGGGGGCTGCGGGCGCGTCTGGAAGAGCACGCCAGGCGGCCAGGTAAAGAGCGGAGACGGGCTGCACGCGCCTGCACTGCTGGGCCCATTCAGGTCCGGAGCGCTCGGGCCGGACCGGGGCATGCGCGGCAGCAGGGCTGGGCTGGGTGCATGCTGCCCGGCGATAGGGGGGCCAGCGGCCAGGGGAGAAGTGGTGATGGGGGAGGAGGCTGGGTGCCTTCGCAGCAGCCTTGGGAGGGAAAGGCTCCGTTTTGGCTGGGCTCAGACTCAGTGCTGCCGGCCGCCCCACTGAGAACGTCCTGGCTCAGTGCACCCGCAGCGGGGGAGGGGGCAGAGCAGAGGAGGAGAGAGGGGAGGGGAGGGGGCACTCGGCTGCCCCTGGAGCGGGAGAAGGGGGCAGGGAGGGCGCAACAGGGCGGCCCGCAGCGCGGCCAGCAGCCGCAGCCGGAGGAGGGAGGCGCAGCAAGGCAGCCTGCACAACGCGGCCGGAGGAGCAGGGTGGAGGACAGCACTAGACGGCCCACGCGGTGGAAGGTGCACACCTGCAGGATGGCGGCCAGCATCATCCCGTTCCACAGGAAGGCAGCGGCCGCCAGCAGGGTAAGCAGCAGCACGCTGAACACCGACAGCGGGGCCCGGCCAGGCAGGGCCACCGCCGCTCCGGTTGGCTGCTGCTGCCCACAGAGTGGTGGAGAGGTTCAGGGGCCCGTCCATGCTGGCCGCCGCATGGGAAGGGGAGCGGAGAGTGGCCGCCAGCTCCCGCCCAGGGCGCGGGTGGCGGGCTGGGAGCCAGCTGCGTCTCTGTGCCCGGCCCAAGGCAAAGTTTGGGGGGATGTGCGGCCATGGCGCTGGGCGCCAGCGGGAGGGAGCGTTACCGCGGGCTCGGCACCGGGCTCCCAGCCTGCCCAGGGGACGGGAGAACAGCCCCGCTCGGGGCGAGCCCCGACACCTCTGCAAGCGAGCCCTGCTGGTCCCGGCCTGCTGCGGAACCCCCTGCCACCCCGCCTTGTGGAGCCGTCCCCGGGCGCCCAAGCCGCGCTCCCTGCAGCAGGGCGGCCCGCACAGCATGGCCAGCAGCCAATGGGGTGAGGGGCAGCGCGGCCGGAGGAGCCAGCCAAGGGCGGGGGCGCACTGAGTGGCTGGAGGAGGAGCCAAGGGGGGCGTGGCCAGAGGAGGAGCCAAGGGGGTGCGCCCTTTTTATGTTTGCTCCCCCCGCTGTTAGATCCTGGCTACGCCACTGAATGGGGGATCGTCATCAAGTAGACGTGTTTCCAGCGGGGTTCTGCAGGGATGGTTTCTTGGCCCTAGGCTATTTAATATTTTTATCATTGACCTGGAAGAAAACAAACTCATCACTGATAAAGTTTGCAGATGACACAAAAATTGGGGGAGTGATAAATAATGAAGAGGACAGGTCACTGATCCAGAGTGATCTGGATTGCTTGGTAAACTGGGTGCAAGCAAACCATTTTAATATGCATTTTAATATGGCTAAGTGTAAATGTATACATCTAGTAACAAAAAATGTAGGCTATATCAACATGATGGGGGACTCTATCCTGAGAAGCAGAGACTCTGAAAAAGATTTGGGGGTTGTGGTGGTTAATCACCTGAATGTCAGTTCCCAGTGATGCTGTGGCCAAAAGGGCCAATGTGATTCTTGGATGCATAAACAGGTGAATCTTGAGTGAGTAGAGTACAGTAGAGAGGTTATTTTACCTCTGTTTGGCACTGGTGCGACTGCTGCTGGAATACTGTGTCCAGTTCTGGTGCCCACCATTCAAGAAGGATGTTGATAAATTGGAGAGAGTTCAGAGAAAAGACAAGAGAATGATTAAAGGATTAGAAGACATACCTTATAGCGATAGACTCAAGGAGTTCAATCTATTTATCTTAACAAAGAGAAGGTTAAGGGGTGACGTGATCATAGTCTGCAACTATCTACAGGGGGGAACTAATAGTTAATAATGGGGTCTTCAATCTAGCAGAGAAATGTGTAACATGATCCAATGGCTAGAAGTTGAAGCTAGACAAATTCAGACTGGAAATTAGGTGTAAATTTTTACCAGTGAGGGTAATTAACCATTGGAACAATTTAACAAGGATCATGGTTGATTCTCCATCATAGATGATTTGTAAATCAAGATTGGTATTTTTCAAAAATATCTGCTCTAAGAACGTCCCCAAAATAATTCCCTGGCCTGGGTTATACAGGAGGTCAGACTAGATGATCACAAAGGTCCCTTTTGCCTTTGGAATCTATGAATGGATCTAAGCAAGCCTCCTAGCCAAGGGTTAGTGCTCTAAAAACAGCTGTGTAGCCTGCTTTGAAGTTGCAGCTCAAGGTGGAGCTTGGGCTCTGAAGCCTAGGGATGGCAGTGGGCTTCAGATCCTCAGCTCCAGCCTGACGCCTAGGGTCTACAAAGTTATTTTTAGCGCTGTAGTGAGAGCCCCGCAAGCCGGAGTCTGTAGATCTAGGAGTGACCCGAACAGCCCTTAATGCCCACTGACATAGGGTACATTGTCTCTCATCAGACACAACCAATTCTGGTGGGAGGGATAGCTCAGTGGTTTGAGCATTGGCCTGCTGAACCCAGGGAGGTGAGCTCAATCCTTGAAGGGGCCATTTAGGGATCTGGGGAAAAAATCTGTCTGGGGATTGGTCCTGCTTTGAGCAGGGGATTGGACTAGATAACCTCCTGAGGTCCCTTCTAACCCTGATATTCTATGATTTAACTCACTACCCCCAACACTGTCATCATGATATTTATCCAAAAATATTGTGTAAGGCATCATATGAAAGCTAACAACATGCTGGTTATTACTATCACTGTAAAATGCATGAATTAATGTTCTATGTGAAGTTATGAATTCTCTCTAACATGATTAAGACCAGACAGCCTACCCCAGGGAAAGGTAATAAACAGGTCTGTCCTAGACAAAGGAATGTGGGTTTACCTCAATTTAGATATTAGCAATAAACAAAGCTATCAAGTTAAACCAATGGGGGTTATCCTGATCATGAACTCAAGAGACAGAGAATTAAGATGGCTCCTGCATCCCACAGAAAGACAGGAGACTGAATCGCCAAGAGGCCTTCCTGACTTGTAAGACAAACACAATCCCCTTGAGGCTATAGGGAACACAGAAAGATTCCATATCCTTCACCTTAGGAGACAAAGGAACCAACTGGATCCTGCCAGAAAAAGCTGGAAAGACAACTGTGGGGGAGAGAGACTACCTTGAACAAAGACTGTATCTTGCTAGATTAAGTTTTAGTCTTTTAGAGGCCTGTTTTCACTTTTATTTGCTTGTAACCATTTCTACCTTTATGCCTTTTACTTGGTCTGACTTAACCATAACTTTTGTTTAATAAACTTGTTTTACTATAAACCCATTCAGTGCTGTGGTTGAAGAAAGGATGTGTTTACCCCAGTTAAATTAAGATGTAATGTACTGACTATTTAACAGAGCAGCAAACTTAATATCCTCAGTGAATGTACAGTGATAGCTGCTGTGCACTGCAGAGAAATGTCACTTTGAGGAGCTGGGTGGCTGGAGTTCACTGATCATTACTTGCGAGGCAAGGTTTGGACTGGGAGAGCCTTGAGGAGTTTGCTGGTCAGGAAGACAGATTGGTGGGGCAGGGAGCTGACATAATCTAACCTCCAGCAAAGCTCACTTTTGTTGAGTCAGAGAGGTAACGCAGTGACTCACAGCTCTGGTTGTCCCCAGCAGTGTGTTACACCAAGGTCTGAGATTTACTGCTGTGGGCTCCTCCTTGCTGGGTAGACGTACCCTCTGTGACTGATTCGAATGGGTCATGGAGCAGGGAACTTTTCTGTTTCAAGACTGAAGACAGAGCCCACTGCCTTGATTCAGGAGGCTGGAACTAAGGGAAACCTTCTATTCCACTGGCTCCACTGTAAGAAATCTTCTGCACGCCAGCAGAGCACACTGAGACATGGGGTTCTTGAGTTCAAATTCTGTGTTGAACTCTTGGTCTCTGGGAATGCCACCATTTCCATATCCCATTTCCCTGTGCCCCTAACCTGGGACCAAAGTCCAACTAGCAACCTACAGGTAAAAGGTTCCATATCCATTCTCGGCCCCTCTGTCACCTAGTTGTTCTGGCCTCAAGGAGTGGAACAAATGACCAGCAGGTGAAAGGTTCTGAATCCCATTCCCAAGCTATCTAGTCTTTTCAATCATAGCAGACATGAGGATGGGGAGTGTGATTTTTGTTCTTTTGAAAACCAACCATGGGATGGATTCGTGACCACAGCAAGGGTTCGATTCTGCAGAGGCCTGGGTGTTCTGGCCTCAATCCAACAATGCACCGAAGCACGTGATTAACTTTAGACACACAAGTAGTTCCTTTGATTTCAATGGGACTGTAGCCACGGGCTTGACGTCAGACATGTGCTTGTTGGATCAGGGCCAGAAGGCTCAGTAGGATTGAGGCCCAAATGAGCAAGGACTGGGCAGGTTTACCGATGCCCTGGTTCCTCTTATGCAGGTACTCCATCAAGACCTCCAGGCAGGCAACAACAGTCTGAGACAGCAATAGGTCTTTCTGAAAACACAGAGAAAAGAATGAGGGCAATGTTGTTGAGAGAGGAAAATTCAAGAGACAGGAGGTGCAAAAGGTGTAGCTTAGGCAAATTACACTTTTCATCGTCCTCAGGGCATGCAATATACAATGCACTTACAAAGCCAGCTCTGCACTCAGTTCACCATAAAGTCATATGAGGCCAGAACTTGGTTCAGAAATTATAAGACTGAGGAACAGTGTCCCAAGGGAAATGGTGAAAGCATGCTGGACTGGTCAAAGTCCTGGAGGATATACTGTATATAACAGCCCTGCACTGGCTGTGGTGGGAGAATATGGTCTAATGCTTCCTTACAGATCAAATTTCTATCATTCTGTAAGGGGTGAAGAAGGGGAGAAATTCCCTTGGGCCATGTTATTTGAGGTGTTTTTCCTCAGACTAATCTGTGTTTATTTATGTCTGTAAATGTACCTGGACCAGAAGGTTCTGCAGACTGACAACAAGCGAGAGCACCTGCCACGTGGCCAGTGGATACAGGGAGGCATCGTCCTCTGACAATGATGGCTCCATCCTGCTTTGGGCTGTAGGCTGGACTACGAGCACCAGCAGGGAGGAAGAGAAGTTCTGTCTGAGGATGGCTCGCAGGAACTGAAGGATACTGACTGCACACACAACTGCTTGTTATTACAACACAGCATTTCCCTTCCCCACCCCAACCCCATGAAACCAAAACCATTCAGCACCAAGGAACCCAACCCTGCACATGAATGCCCAGAGCAAAGCCTGACAGAGGAGAGAAGGAAAAGTTGGGTGGATTTATTTTCAGGAGTGGGTGGATTTATTTTCATTTATATTAAAGGGAGATTGCACTGGCTAGTGTCTGCAGGCATGAATGCCACTAAACTAAGTCTCCACACACCCGGCCCTGCAGCACCACCTCACTTGTTATTCCAACTCTTGCTCAGTTTCAAGCCCTGTTACCGAACTCTATGGTAGTTTCAAGAAATGAAAAAATATCCACCAGGGATGAACACCACCAAACTCATTTTACCTTTGCCCCAAGTACCCCAAATCTGTAGTGGACAAACATGGGCGGCATGTGAACCATCGGCTGGGGGAGGCTAGCCCCCAGCCCTGCCCCTTCCACCTGAGGCCACGCCCCTTCTGCACCCCCTCCCCCACGAGAGCCGCCAGCCCCTGCCCCAAGCTAGTGCCCTCAGGACCAGAGTCCAGGAGGATGGGCGGCGCGGCCCTAGTTCCCCCAGCCCCAGAGCGCCGGGAGGGCAGGCAGCACGGCTACTGCACAGGGGGAGCCGCAGAGGAAGGGGGGACCTGTGGGTGGAGCATGGGCGGGGCCATGCCTGGCTGTTTGGGGAGGCACAGCCTCCCCCAGCCTATGATACCCGCCACCCATGTGGACAAAGGGTGCCAAACTCCCACCTGCATGTTCACCTCCAGTACATCGGTCACTCTTATTTGTGTTCTTTTTGCCTTCGAATAGTCTCAACTTC